GTAAAGAGGGATGGAGCTAATCTCACTTCTGGGGGAGAAGATTCCACAAGGTGGGCACCATGGCAGAGAAGGCCCACCTCTTGGGACCCGCCAAATGTAATTCTCTAGCAGATGGGACCCACAGCATGCCTCGTACTATAACTGTTCTACTTGAAATGGCTCACAGAAGCAAGTGGTGTATTTCCACAATCCCTATTTGTTTCCCAGGAACTTGAGGTTCTCTCTCTTTTTTTGTTGAGAAAGGAAGACAGGTAATGGGAAACGCTACATCTCCCAGAATTAGAACATCGCTATGTTTCTTTATAAAATCGGAAAATCTCAGAATCTGATCCCAAGTGTTCCATGTGATATCTGTTGTGATCCTTAGTTTGGAGTGTTGATTTCCAAGTTGTTTAACTCTTGACCAAAAACTTTCAACCCTTTGCTGAACTTTTTGCACATGGTTTATTTTGTATGGCCTACCATTGCACATATTTTACTTAGGTACCCCTTGGGAGAAACTGGCATTTGCATATCCCTTTTTAAAAACTAGATCCAAAGAACTTGCATAATGACAACTTTTGACTCTCAAGGTCAGCTCTTCAGAACAGGAGATGGGTGGGGGAGATCTTGAAAATCTTGTGCAACTGCATTTGTTTTCTGTTAATGTAAATATACCATTTGATACAATCCCAGATGGTAAGATGCTGACCATATTTATTTTCTAGAAAGGTGTCAGCATAATTGCAGAGGGTTTCACCCCAAAGTTTGCTATACCTGAATGATTCAGTCAAAAACAAGATGAAAGAGCAAACAAAACCCCTAGCATTTTTTTTTTTTCATATTAAGGGATTTTAAAAGAGTTTTAAGCAGTATAGCAAGGATTTTCAGTACTGAAGAGTGACCAAAAAGAGAGAGAGAGAGAGAGAGAGAGAGAGAGAGAGAGAGAGAGAGAGAGAGAGAGACTGTTTCTGCCTGACTGTTTAGATAAATATTGGGGGCTCTTCTCTAGATATTTCTCACAATAATATGAGAGGGAAAGATTTTTCTCTATAGGGGTCCTCATCTGTAGAATGCAGTCCTTAAGGAAATCTTCACAGCATCTTCACTTCATCAGTTCAGATGCCAAAGTATGGCACCCTTCCCCGCCTTTTTCTGGACAAAGCATTTAATTTGAGTATGTTTATTAATTTTCTGTGGCCTTTTGGTATCTATATGAACTGTATGAAAGATATCGTATTATCCATCCATCCATCCATCCATCCATCCATCCATCCATCTATCCAGGGTTTTAATATCTGTAAACTACCCCAGAAATATTTGCTACTTGGACATTAAATACCATAGGATAGTGTAATGCAGTACAATGCAGTATAATATAGCATAGTATAGTAAAATATGAAAAGTAGAGTAGTACCAAAAGAGGATTCTAGAAGCCCCAGTCAGATGAAAGAGGTAGGTACTATCTGCTAGCATACATTGTTGGATTTCAGCATTTTTCAGATTTCATTGCAGAGATATAGTCAGAGAAAGATAATCTGGGCCTTCTGCTTGAAGGTTGTTAGGCAAGTCTGTCTGCCTTCCTTCCTTCCTAGCACTATTTTCAGCTTTATAGAGTGTGATGGACAAATTAAAGGTGCTGATTGGTTTTCACCAGTTGTGCCTATTGTATAAGAAGGGTTATATGGGAGTAACTTTTAAAAAAAAAAAATACAAAAAATATATTCCATCTACTCTGGCATGTTACCATGGAGTCATTTTACCAGATGCTTTAGGGCAGTGTTTTTCAACCTGCATGCTGGCTGGGGAATTCTGGGAGCTGAAGTCCACACATCTCAAAGTTGCCAAGGTTGAGAAACACCACCTTAGGGTACCTTGTTATGCCATACCATATCCCATCATGTCACAGGACTCAAACTATATTGGACTTTAAAGGTAAGCAATAGTGATGAGGATATTTAAACTAGGAAATATATTCCTAAATGCTAGTCCCAGGTATTTTTTGCTTAACATTATTTAATTCTGACATAAAGCCACCCAAGAAGATAACCTTTCTGATTGGCTTGCAATATACCTTAAAACAATTAAAAGCATAACACAGCACAACACCAGCTGCAGAAGAACGAAGTCCAAGTAAACATCAAGAGCTTGGACATTTTCAGTTACTTACCTTAGTGCCCGATCCTGGCTTAATGACTATTTGAAGAACTTAGTGAACTCCTTTAAAAACTGGAATATGAATGGAGTTTCTTAAGCTGACACCATGGCTCTACACCCAGCTGTCTCACATCCCTTTCCATGCCCATTTACTCCAGCAAACAATGTGTTAATCAGATGGAACATGTTCATATTCATTGCAAAATGCTCCTTGTTTTTGTTTTTTATTAGAGATTGCTGCTGTCCTGGCTTATATAACAGTCTTCCAAATCTGGTGCCCGCAGCAGATATAATTCCAAACCATTGGATTATGTTCACTAGAATTATGGGAGTTGTACTCTAACTCATATGAAAGGATCCAGCTTGGGGCAAGGTGGTTTTTCCATACTACAGTGGTGGATGATAAGCAGCTAAGCAGCTAAGAATATCAGCAGAGTCATAGGCCTTGGAATTGTCTCTAGGCTGGTTTCTTGACAGTCAAAGGACCCAAGGACATTCTGTGACATCAGCCTTTGGCCCTGCAGCTTAGAAGGAGAGCCAGAAATGAATTCTTGCTCTGCAATAAACTTTCCTCCATGAGTGTTGCTCCACCAGGCAGAAAGATCATCTTTATGGCATTTCTGCTTCATTTCTACTACTGTATTCACATGTGATCATATCCTTCTGTAAAAATATGTGCAGGTAACTGAGGCTAACCATTTTGGCTTTTGTCAGCTACAGAATGTGCTCAGTGTAATAAGCTGCTAAGAGTGGATGTTCTTTAAAATCAAATGTTTCCACCTAAAACATGTATTCATTGGAGTGTAATGTTACATTTTGCTGTATGCATTTCTATAATTCAGAGTTGTCACATATGCCAGTTTCAAAGCCTAAACTTTTAGGTAGATAGTGATATCTGATTTCTGTCAAAGCCACCTGTCTGCAAACTACTTGCAGACAGATGGTCAAATATTCTGAAGGAAGGTCAAGGAGGAGACGTTGAAAAAAATAGCTGTACTCCATGAGCATTGTCTCCATTTTTTGAAGTGCAATTTTGTCACAGCAGGAGGAGTGTCACAGTAGAGGAGGAAAATCAAGTCAAACAACATTAGGGATCAGGGGAGCCTGCAAGGGAGGTAAAAAAAGTCAAGATGGCAGCCAGGGCTGCACATACAAAGCACCACCCCTTTTTTACCTGTGTCACTTTGACAGATACCCTATTAGGGATAAAGATAACAAAATAAATATCATTTATTTGATTAAAGAGACCACCTGCAATCTAAAGGAAGCATATACAATGTTCTGCCCCTCTTTCCTTCCACAGCCTCCCCCTAATCCGTTTCTGTAATATAGAGGATCTCCCAGAAAACTGTTAGATAAAGCTAGAATAGAAAACTGCTCACTTCCCCAAACTTGCAAACACATGAAAATCTTCCAGTAAAGGTACAATCCAGGTAGTGTAGCAAGATGAGCAGCCTGTTGATCCCATGATCTTGTAAGCGGGAGCTTGCAGCTCAGTGCAATCTGATCTATTCCTGTTATACTGTGGATGAAGAAGGGCTGTTTCAAGGAAGTGAATACCATTTTAGAAACTGTAGACAAGTGCTTAAGAGGGCAGCCTGTATTCTCACTTGAAGTGGGGCGGGGATCTCTGGCTCATCTTCCTCCCAGCTCTTGGGGTCTAGTCACAGCAGCCCTCTTGGCTTATCACAGAGTTTCTCAGCCTTGGCAACTTTAAGATGTGTGGACTTCAACTCCTGCTGGCTGGGGAATTCACATCTTAAAGGTTGAGAAACACCGGCTGATCAACATTAGGAGTCTGTGTCCATGGAAGTTTGCCACAACAGTGTAGATAGAAACAGGAGATATACTAGCCCTTATTTCCATTTAGTTTTGTGAAGAGGGCAAAGGATTTTCATTTAGACACAGAACTGAAAGGGTGAAGAGCTGGTCAATTACTGGCTGACAAGCACTGATGGTTTGACAATGCCTTGGACTCAGCTAATAGCTGGTGCTTCACTGTGAGTTCTACAGCTTTGTAAATGTGTAAACATGCTGTGCTCAGAGCATCCTAATGTTCAAATAGATCTGAAAACTGTCAAAACAGCCTGGATCAATCTCTGGTGCATTTAAAAACTGGCGGTCTGACAGAATCCTGGGCAGTTGTTTGAAGACAGATATGGGTTTGAGGGATTTGGCCCTTGGCTTTTGATATATACATTGACTACTTAATTGATTCTATATAATTAAATGTGCACATTACAAAACACTTCAGGGGGCTTTCTGAGGATATTAATTTATAAATTAATAAATTGTTCGAAAGAGAGCTAACAGTACTAGGTTGGGGAAAATAGGCTTAAGCAGATAAAGCTTCTGAGCAAGATAAAGGAAGGAAGGAAGCACGTAGAAAGCACAAATTTTATTTCCTTTTTAATGGAGCTTATTGTCAATCAGATTCTTCATAATAGTTTGCTTAAATCCCTTGATCTTGCATTGTGGCTCATGTACTAGTCAAATGCCACCCAGTAAGGCTGAGAGATATACCCCGCCCAACAGTAAGGTCTGTTGAGGGCAATGAGTCCAATTTCTTAGGAAGCAAGTGTGCAGTTATGCTATTCGGGTCAATACCATATTTCATTCAGACCTCAATTACAAGGTGGGGACTTCAGGACTCCCAGGACAATGAACCTGCCTCTTGTTGTGCAGCAATGATGCAATGATGGCTTTTGAGAAACCTTTTCATGAAAGCTTAAACAATTTTTAGCATTTAATCCTACGCATAAGAACATTATAAACTGGTCGTTTTTAGGCAATTATGATTTTTAAAATATAAATATTATATTATCTCTTTCAGAGTCAGCTGGATGGATTCCTAGATGTTTTGCAACAAAGATCTTTGAAAATTGAAGGATGTGTCAGTGAAATAGAGGCTTTGTTTAACACTCTCGAGGTAAGTCAGGCAAGGGGCCCTCTGAGTGGGTGCCGTTGTCAAGTTAAGCATAAATCTCACTGCACTGCTTTGCTGTTCAGTGCCTTGGTTCAGACATTGTCTGAGTCATGGCTTGCTTTTCCCATGCCTCACAATGCAGGGTTCACACATCCCTTCAAGTCATATTATGGCTTGCTTATTTGTGGCTTACCAGATTGTATGAATCCAGCCAAAATTTCTGTTACTGTACCTTCCACATTTGGGCACTATCTCTTCTTTGTTGGTTGAGCATAATGCTCACTTTGGGCACCACAACTTAAAAAGGATTCGGACAACTTGGAATGAGTTCAGCACACTGGAAACAGAGTCTTATGAAGAGAGAGGGAATTAGTTTACTGTATATTTAGCCTTGAGGAAAGATTGATTGGGGGCTGTGGAAAGAAATGAGGACTGTCTTTCCTGGGTTCATATAAGACACTAAGTCATAATGTAGTATGTTTTGTTTGGGTTTAGAGTGTTGTGTGAACCAAGCCATTGTAATTTCCATACTTATTTATTAGATTTTTATACTATTGTAATCATACATTTGGTAGTGACTTATTGTTCAGCAAGACGTGTGAAGCTCTTCTTCACTGGATATATATTGTTATTAAGAATTTTGATTATAATAGTAAAATCTAATACAAACTAAACTTTAAAAAAGAGAAGAGAATAGAAAGAAAGAATAAAAGGTACAAGAAAAAAGAAAGAGAGAGAGAAGAAATAAAAAAGTAAGAAGAAATAAAGAAGAAATATATAAAGAAGTGCCTTTCAACCTTCATCATAAGTATAAACAAATTTAGTGATTCTTTGCCCCCTCTAAGGTTACAAACAATTATCTCCTCATCCCATATCCCATCCCTTAACTATAGACAAATCCATAAAGCATCATCTTTTCAGTCCTGGTGTCAGTAGAAAGTCCATAAAGGGTTGCCAGAAGTAACAACACATCTTCTTTTAGCCTTGATCAAATAAACCAACTTTTTATTCCTTCCTTTTACTTCTAACAGTCTTAATCTTTAGTTCATTAAAATATTGTTGTAGGATTTGATTTTTCTTCATTTCTTCTTTGTCCCATTGCACAGAGTTCTTCAAGGCTTTAACAAGCCTCTTTTGTAAATCCAATAGGAAAAAATGTTCAGGTCATTCCCTTGGTTTATCATTTATATTTCCTTTTTGAATTTTAAAACATCAGCCAATTTCTTTTGTAGATCCAGTGAAACATCCTTTTCCAA